GACCCCGCCTCTTGCCCGAAGCTGCTGGGATTGGCTCCAGCTTCCCCGCGACCCAGATGGATTAAGCGGCATAGATAATGGATGGATGGATAAAACAATGTTTTAACACAATGTTTTTACTCAAAATCAAGATTGCGATTTTCTCTCACGATTCTTCAGCAACATATTTCTCTCTTCACATATTGTCTTTATTACATATTGCATTATCTATTTTCTTTATTGCATATTGTCTTTATGAAGATGGAAAAAACGACATGCTGAGGTTCACAATATATCAGCTGACATACCGATATTACTCACCGATATTTAAACTTTATCAATATTGAAAGTTAGCAGCACCAGCACTAAAGACAGAGCTTCTGAAATAAAGGAGACGATCGCATCGGACAATCTGCCATTTTCCGTAGAGGAGAATAGCAGATTTCATTGACTCATTCACTACTTAGAAGAGGTCTCAAAGTAATTAATGAATTATCTGGCCTATAGTTCGATCTTTCATTTTCCACAGAATAAAAAAGCGATGTAACATCATTCCGCTAATCTGCACCGGCAAGCTCAGCAAGTTCCACAGACTGCCAACTCTCTGGTCTACTTCTAATGAACATTCACCATGTGATTGACAGTGATAAACAGATAAACAGATACAAGAATTAGGTAGGCAAGAATGTAATTAATTAATTAGCTGCTGTGTACTGTATGTGTGTGTGTGTGTGTGTGTGTGGGGGGGGGTGTATACTGTATATGTACCCTGAGATAAAACCAGGCACAACTGCTCATACGTGCTACGTCGATGTTCATGTCAATGTAGGAATGTTTTGGCGTATCCATTACTAAACCTCACTTAAAGTCACCGCAGTATCTGCAGCAACCATCCAATAAACTGATGTATTTTTTGACAGGTTTTTGACTAGCATGCCATGCTTGGGTAATAGATACCTCATTGAGTTATTTAACTAGTTAAATTGATTAATTAATTAACTGAGCAGATGGTGAAATTTAGCTGATACATGGAATGGTCTGGGTGCCCCTAAGGAGAGATTTGGGAACCAAAGTGATGTTCATCTAACTATTCATCAAAACTTTTGTGACCTTTTTAGTTTCTTATTGTGTTACTGTTACTGTGCATATGTTCTAATGGTAAATTGCATTTTTATGAGCAAATATGAACTTGAAATATGAAATAAATAACTTAAAGCATTTTCTTTGACTGCCTAAGACTTTTGCACAGTACTGTCGATCATAAACACACATGCCTTTAACACGAATGCAGGACAATTATTTACATTTTGTTTTGAAAACAAATGAGATTACCCTGAGAAGACCCTACGCTTTAAATATTGTGATGTATGTCTACCTGATGAACCATTTGCCTTCTCACTTCCTCTGACCCAATGGTGTTGTGGCCCAAAGCATCTGTGTAACACTGCATAATGTTGCTGCAATGTTACAGGAGTGACATCCATCTGTGTAACACTGCATAATGTTGCTGCAATGTTACAGGAGTGACATCCATCTGTGTAACACTGCAAAATGCTGCTGCAGTGTTACAGGAGTGACATCCATCTGTGTAACACTGCATAACGTTTCTGCAATGTTACAGGAGTGATATCCATCTGTGTAACACTGCATAACGTTGCTGCAATGTTACAGGAGTGATATCCATCTGTGTAACACTGCATAACGCTGCTGCAGTGTTACAGGAGTGACATCCATCTGTGTAACACTGCATAACGCTGCTGCAATGTTACAGGAGTGACATCCATCTGTGTAACACTGCATAACGTTGCTGCAATGTTACAGGAATGATATCCATATGTGTAACACTGCATAACGCTGCTGCAATGTTACAGGACTGACATCCATCTGTGTAACACTGCATAACTTTGCTGCAATGTTACAGGAGTGACATCCATCTGTGTAACACTGTATAACGTTGCTGCAGTGTTACAGGAGTGACATCCCGGGCTGCTTTCTGCTTTCAGATTGGCCACCTGTGTTGCTCCGGGTTTTACCAGAGAACAGTGCAGCATTTGTTGCGTCCCGGGATGAAGTCACTGTTGCTGCAAAGCTGGGTCCTTAATACTCTTGGGTCTAAGGCCTCTAATATCAGGCACTGAAGAGACTGTGGGAACTGGACCCGGGCTCCTTGCAGAACCAGCAGAGCCTTCACTCCTGGTCAGGGATCGGATTTTCTCTCAGGAAATAGGGTGACCCAAAGCAGCACGACTTCATCTTCCGGTGACCTTTCCTGTAACCAACATAACACACCAGGCCAGCTGTGGGCTTTTCCCATGCGCTGGAACTGCATGCGACATTCAGCAGATTATCATCACTTGCAATGCATTTGGTTTTGTTTCGATGCACAGCTAGATTATTGCCAAATCACCAGAATTATGTGACTGTCGATGCTACTTCTCTACCAGACCTCTTGTTGTAACTGTTATACCCTGAGGTTCGGTAGGTGCTGACAAGGGACTGTGCATCAAGCAAACCATAATTCACCAAACTAAACAAAAAGTTAGGTTTGCCTGCTCTTCACCCCTCGACTCCGCTGGGCCTCTTTGCCCTCCATCCATCCATTTTCTGAGTCGGCTTATCCTGTTCAGGGTCAGAGGGGGTCTAGAGCCTTTCCTGGAGCCTACAGCCACAAGGCAGGAAACAACTCTGGATGGTGAGCCAACCCATGGCAATGGACCATTCCCTCACACATGCACACCTACGAACAATTTGGTAACGCCAACTAATCTCAGCATGTTTTTGGACTGTTGGTGGGAAACTAGAGTACCCAGAGGACACCTCACAGTGACACGGGGAAATCATGCAAACTCCACACACGTGAAACCCAGGCAGAGACTCGAACCCAGGTCCCAGAGGTGTGAGCCAACAGTGCTAGGGCCTCTTTGCCAATCAGCAAAAGGAATGCAGTCTGCTTTTGAGCCATTTCCAAGTAGTGCAACTGTGCAAAGACCTCAGTAGTCTGCGTGAGCTCATCGCTAGTCTCTAAAATGACCCTTTGTAGCAAAGCTTGGTGTGAGAAATAAAGAGTCAACTGAAAGCAGCAGCCTCAAGACAATCCATTGATTCCATCAGTTGTCGTGACAAAATATGGGAGGTTCTGAATGACTCAGTTACATATAGTTGATGTCAGTGTTTTTTTAGCATTTGGTAGTTGTTGTAGACCCTTCACTGTGGGGGGGGGGGGCATTGACTGGCTATTTAGTAATGTGAACCAGTGTAAATGTTGTCTAGCTGAGTAAAGGAACGCACCCCATTTATATAATTGCAAGTACAACTTCAGCCACAAGTAGAAAAGTAGTGGTGTGGAAACACAGGAGAGCTCTGCCAACTGAGAAGCAGTCAGTCAGCCCCGGCCGGCATGTGTGCGTCGCACAGACGGAATTTTGTGTGTTACAAAATAATTACCCTTTTTTATATAGAGCCAAACGAATGTGGCAAATATTTCAACATAAAATAAACAGGCCAATTGCGGAGGGCCCCAACAAGCCCAAACTCATTCCGAGGAGTTTGGACCCTGGATCCAGTGCCAACCTGTTTTGTTTAATTGTGCCTTTTAAAAAGCGCTTAGTGTTGTCACTTTTAATAAACGGGTGGGCCTGAGTGTGATGTCAGCGTGCTTCAGTGCCAGGCTGCCCTTCTGTTGAGGAGTCCAGATGTCTCATGGCCTATATGGTGCCCTTACCCAATCTGGTCCTCTAATTCCTCCCAGCTGCCGAATGCTCCACCTAGAAGAGGAGAGACCTCTTGTTTAGGAAATGCAGGTTCAAAACTGGTTGGCCATAACCATGCTTTCAGAATGTGCGTGATGAAACCAGTTCTGTGTGGGATAGCAGAGAGTTACAGCAGCCCTGATACACAGCAAGATACAAATATACAGTTTGGTAATATATTCTTAGTTAAAAGTTGCCTGGTACTGTTTAATAGATACTTTATAACCCATATCTGGTTGTGTCAGTGCCATTCCAGAGATGCATTGCTTCAAAGCAGAACTGAAACCCAGAAATGGGAAGCACTAAGTAGGGCCATTCTGAGAAGAACAGTATTGTGCTGAAGAAGAGGTCAGAGAATGAACGATGTGTCGGATGCGAAAAGGATTAGTCTGGAAGTTTAAAAGCAAAAAGGAGCATTCTTGTAGCAAGATATCACAAGCATTAATGTAATAATGAATGAACCAAATCAGCTTCAAATGTGGGAGCGTGTTCCAAGCCAAAAGGGAAGAAGCTGTTTATGAAAATTCAGCTGAGCTATTTCTGTTGTTTTGAAGCTACTGTACCATCTCTATGGAGGCAACTGGCAGGATTCAGTCATATTGGTGTTACGCATCTTATTCTAAAAGGTTTCGCTGAGCTCAGTTGCTATTTCTGACAGATCTTGGTGGAGATATACTAGGTATCTTGCATGCAATGTGTATAGCAAAAATCCATGCAAGAACACACCCAGCATTGAAAAACATCCTTCCCTTCTAGAATTTCTGGATTGAATGTTTGTTTGACAAATTGCTACACCTTCACCCTGGAACCTACCATCTCCTCTCTCTTCCTGTCTGACCTTAAGAGACCTACTGTGAATAAAGGGCCGGACTCCCATGGAGCACATGTTCCTCTTCCTGAAAAAGCGGAAGTCAGACTTAATCTCACCCTGGGAGCAAATAAAGAGAAGGAAGTGGGCAGGAAAGCAGGGAAGGGGTGGCTCTATTTTTCCTGACGTCCCAATACGGTGTAAGTACTCTGTGGTATACTGTACACGTTTCAGTTAGTTTTAGTGATTGTTCAAAAAGTATTATGAAAGGGCCTGATATCAGCTGCAATAATTCAGTTACAGTAGATGCAAATAACTGACTTCATCTTTGACATTTCCAAACCCACTCCCATAATACGGCTGAAAGACTTTATTGTGCTATGTATTGTCTATTCTTATTTTGTAAGGTCAATATAGTCTGTCAGAATACATGTATTTCCCATCACACTTATAAGAGAGACCAGTTTGGTTTTTATAACATTTTTATTGTGTAAGAGCTACACATGTCCAGCATGGATCATTAAACACAATGTAACAGTGAACGACACGCAAATCAATAGTATCAAATTTTCTGTGACTGCAGCAGAAAAACGGAATGTTACTCACAAAGTAAAAATTAACATTAAAATAAAAAAAAAAACCTGCATACCCATTATATGTTTCTTAAACATAAGTACAATTTACAATTTAAACAATTAAGATAAAAATATTGTCAATACAAATGTGACAAATTACTTGACCAATGACATTTTCGATTATAATGAAGACCATGTGCTTGCTATAGACTGAACTCATTTGTGGAATGTAAGGTGATATCTGGGATTCCCTCTGAGCCGTACATGGTCTTAATCCTAGGACGGGGATTCCCTCCGAGCCGTACATGGTCTTAATCCTAGGATGGGGATTCCCTCCGAGCCGTACATGGTCTTAATCCTAGGACGGGGATTCCCTCTGAGCCGTACATGGTCTTAATCCTAGGACGGGGATTCCCTCTGAGCCGTACATGGTCTTAATCCTAGGATACAACACTGGTTTGAAAACATTTTGCTGTCACTGACATTTAACAGCATATTGAGAGTGACTCTCCAACACCACTGGTCACCACAGACCACGTGCATTTGCCCTGTGCCGATAAGGAAATCTGAAAGGGAAAAACATATTTTCAGTTTCCTATCTGTAATTCATCGGCCACACGATAAGGGCAAATATGTCTAGAAAACAACATGAAACATGACAATCCTGCTGTCTTTTTTTTCTTAAAATATAAAACAATATCTGATACCCTGAAGTGAGATCTAGTGGTTAAGAGAGCTGGCAGAGAGATATATACTTTGGGAACGATGGAACTCTTCTTGTAATCTGTGAATGTATATGTATACGGAGTACCGGAGATGTAGAGTACCACTGGAGAGGACAAGGGGAAGGACAATGGCAGGAACGACCTTGTACACGGCGGCCAGACACTGGCACGTCAGCTTGGCTCTTCGCTTAATGGCTACGCTCAATCGACTTCGCCTGAACTCTCCTTTACCCAAACAAATGGAGGCCGTCCAGTGCGATCTAAACGAGGTAATGGAAGTATTCATCTTTCTCTCCATTTCAAAATCAAATCTACACAAGGTGTAGTTTCATTGGCGTAGCTTTCTCTTTATTGTACTGGGAAGGCTGGGCTGGACACAAAAACAATATGGATGGAAGCAGCCTGGTGTGTGTGTGTGTGCGTGTGTGTGTGTGCGTGTGTGTGTGTGTTTGCCCAGTGAGAACCCTGCCTGCTCCCCTATTCTCCCTGGGACAGGCTCCAGGTCCCGCTGACCAGGATAAGTGGTCGGAAGATGGGTGGATCTAAGCCAATTCTTTATTGCATGGGGGGTTGGAAGACTGGAGAGAAACATACAGCTGTTCTGTAAATTGACACCCCCCCTCCCTTCCTGTCAAAGGCAGCTTGAGTCCTTCAGCGTGTGAGTAAGCACTGAAGGACGCCACCCAGGGACTCTCACTGACCTGCACCTTTAAGTGCTCCATTCATTCCAGCAGGCCCGACAGACAGTGCAGAGGCTTTTATCTCTGATTAAGTCTTCTCCGAACCTCCCAGGGACATTGGGGTGTATGGCAGGAATGGTGGGGGGGGGGGGGGGGAGTGGGGGCTGGAAAGCAACCATACTGAACAGGATTCATCACTGACTACAGCACAGGGCTTGCAGTTTTTGTCTTGGTTTCAATGATTTTTACAGAGCCTTCTTCTTTGTGCCCTATCTCAGTAAGAGTTATAAGCCTCAAGTTTCAAGCCCCACACAGTAAATAGGTAACACTGGATCTGGGAGCTGTATAGGCTGCATTCACCCACAATGAACTCATTTAGGGCAGCTGAAAAGGCTAATCTTTAACTTGGAGCATATTTGCTGCTTGACCTGCTTTATCGCGGAGGGTAATCTCTCCGGCCCAGATTAGCGCTCATTGGAAGCCAGCAGGTGTGTAGAAACGCGAGCTGGCGGCATCGGTGAGCCACGCAGACGCACTTTCATTATGAGATGGCGGCCCGGAGCGGGACTCGCAGAGACGGCCATCTGCGGGAGTTCAAAGGGAGGGACATTAGGCAGCCCTATCTGGTGGGCCTTTGGGAAGCCTTCGCCGCTTGTTATCGTGGAGCCCAGTCTGGTTTCCATTACACAGATGCAGATAACTTGGGAGAAACCGACTTTCACCACGACTCATGAATAAATTAGGCAGGTCTAACTGACAATTGACCAATGGGAGGCGAGGGTTTGGCCAAAATGTGCCAGTGGGGCCATGGTGTGGCTCACCATGCGGCCAACATTGAAGAACATTGAAGAACTTCACAATAATTCTCCTCTCAGAGACTGGATTTTGATATAAGTTAGTTTGCTTTCCCCAGTTCTATGTTCTGAATCATTTCCCCCCAAAAGTGCCCATTCCTTTTTATATTTATGCATTTATTATCCACTGACTTATTTTTAATGATCCATGATGTGCCATTAAGCAGGAGCACCATCCTTGCCAGTTTTGTTATGTCTAATACAACAGAAAAGCTTCAAAGGATCCTTAGGGCGTCAACATGGGGAAGCAGCAAGTCCACAGGGGACTTTAAACCACTGACACTGAGTTACAGGTGCAGGCATCCGAAGGACTGAAGGTGCTGAGGTCCACGTTCTGTCCTGGATCTGCAGCACAATGGCCTCAACAACTTCTTGAATATTATAGCACTGAGAAAATTCCATGACTTTATAAATATCACTGAATTCTGAGCTCTATAAACTTAATCAAACTTGTACAAGCCTTGGAAGCTCGCATTTTCATCTGTAATGAATACTGTTTAGTCTTTTCCATTTGGGATCTTGGTGGTTTTATAGATACATACTCCACAAATGCATGGTATTAACATTTAAGAGAGTGACTGTGAATCTGCCTTTGTACCAAACCCAGCAAACACCCAATCCGCTCAAAAAGCTGTGAATGATGTCCAGTTAATCTGCTAGAGCTCTGCAGCACTGCTATGTGATGATAAGATGGTGACTTTGAAGTACACATCTACGTAAGACCTTCGTCAAAAGAGGATCAGAATTGCTGTGGGTTGGTGAGTAGAATAACCACAAAACACTCTGCTGTCCTAAGCTAATGTTAGCACTCTGCTGTGCTAAGCTAATGTTAGCATTCTGCTGTGCTAAGCTAATGTTAGCACTCTGCTGTGCTAAGCTAATGTTAGCACTCTGCTGTGCTAAGCTAATGTTAGCACTCTGCTGTGCTAAGCTAATGTTAGCCTGCCGCCACACAGAACTGCACCTTCTGTGCAAATTTTTTGAAGTTAGTATTCGCAAGAAGACTCCAGTCTATTGCTATATTGTGTTTGTACACAAGTCATGAAATAAATCCTTTGAACGAGGCGGAGAAGGTAAGACAACGTAGACACGAATTCCTAAAAAAACAATAAATTCAGACAAAAATATAGAAGTAACAAAAAAGGACAAAAATAATGTGCAAACTTTTCGATATAAATAGACTACAGTTAACAGATTGGGCTGAGCACCAGGTAAAGTGGGTGTATGTGTGTTTACATGTGTATGTGTGTGTCTGCATGTGTTACTTCGTGGATGTGTGCAGGATGATAGTGATGGAGGAAGTGGGCTCCAGTCAAAGGCTGAGAGGTCAAACCCAGTCCTGCAGGGAACGTTTGCAGTGGACCAGCATCTTGGGAGCCCCTTTTCTCTGCAACATGTTGATGATGGCGTAGATCAATCCCAGAATGCACAGCACTAGGACAAGGGGCACAGTCACCATGATGATGTTCATGGTGCGAGCTTCGTTCTCGTCGATCTTGAGGATCACGTCCACCTCATCGTCCTCATCTTTGTAGTCTATGTCATTGGTGCGGTCACGGCCAGCGTCTGGGTTGAACGGTGGTTGATCCACGTCAGGCCACCTGGGGTTGTCTTGTGTGTCGGTGTCCTTGTCTGGATCCAGGTCCATAGTGCAGCCCATGAAGTCCCTGAGGATGGATTTCGGGTATCCCGGCTCACACGTCATTCGATGATTGTCAAACTTCCAGTACTTGGTCCCTTTGTAAAAATATGTGTAAGCTGCAAAAAGACAACGACAGGCAACCATTAGGGACCGAAGCCATCAGAAACGGCACATGTCACCCTTCCTGCCTGGATGGAAACGGGGCGACATAGAAATTCATAATGGGGAGGTTTTCAAAGGCTTTCATAACCACGTCTTGTGGCACGAAACCAGATCTGGCATCAACTTCATCCATGTTTATATCTGTCCAGTGGAACAAATGCAGACTCTGAGTCGTTTGCTTTCAAGTAACACGCACCTGTCACTTAAAAGAACAACTGGAATCAGATCTGGCATGCAGTTTCTCATGTCACAGTTGAGTGGTTGGACCTTGCCCTCAGACTAAGCCAAATCAGTCATAGGCAATCAAAGGTGCAAGAATAACGACCAGGAGCCCAAGCTAGTGAGAAAGGGCTCTCATTTCCACACGCTGGCAAAGATTAAGTCACTTTTTCCTTCTCTCTATCTTTTTGTGCTTTACTTTCTCTTATTCCCCCCCCCTCTCTGTCAGTCACACAAACACACACACAGACACACACATTTTCCTCCTTTGTGAAGCACAGTTACAGGTATTTTCCTGGCCATTCGTCCTCCCCTACCCCCCCCGTTTCCCTCACCACCATCATCACTGAGGAAGGCTCCTTTGGGAGAGGGTGGAATTCCGCCCCACACGCTGATTGGCTTGGGGTAGTCTGCATCCACAGAGCGGGACTGCTCGTTAAATCGCCAGTACCTAACAGAGAAAGAGCAGGAAGGCACAGCGGCGTGAAACAGCGTGCATGGGCAAAGTACACACTTCAGAACAGTTTGGTGGAACATAAACTGTAAATGTAACGTATTGAAGGGAGAAGGAGCTTATGAAAAAGTAAGAAATGCAAAGGTTAGCGGCCGTGTATCTACCTGTCTTCCTTAAAGAAGTAAGTAAACCCTGAAGGCTCCCACCAGACGGCTGTTTCGATGCCGTCGTATGGGATGCCCTGGCCGTATTCTGTAAGCTCCTGAGGGTAGCCAGGCTCCAGATTTGCCTCCCTAAACAGCCAATATTTACTTCCTGCAGATCAGGGAAGCAACGTTAGAAGAGTTGAAAAGAGAAGCTAATTCCCAGCAGCTGCTTCCCTCCACACTGACAGCGACTTTTGATTACTGCCGTATTTCTTTCGCAGATGCCACGTCGCTTTGCCAGCTCAGGCTGCTTATATCTATAACTGTGCAGAAACACACAAAAATGAGCGACACGTTTATGAGTTTTTTTCGCTGATTTTGAAATAGTGCAGCTCCCAGGGGGTTGGAACCTATGGCAATCTGGGGTTATCCACAGTCCCGAAACAACTGGGAGGCAGGAATCTCAGTCCTTGCCACGTCACCATTGTATGTAGGTCAGTTGCTGGTCACGTGACCTTCTCACAAATGGAGGTTTTAACAGCATCCCGGGATGTTGTTTCTAGCGTGAGATTGTTATGCAGCACGCCGGCCGGGACACTGTGCCCAGGTCCGTTTCATCTCTCCCCATTCCACCAACTCAGATCCTTGTTAAGAAGCGAAACCTTTGCAGTCAGCATCTGGAAACCGCTGGCTGATGTAATGCACAGCTTCACATCTGCCAGATGTTTGGTTCCAAGTTTTCTTTTTTCTATTCTGCTTTTTTTGCCTCGTATTTTTCGTCAATGGCAACTGCCCAGACTTTGGAAGGTTTTGGCAGTGACATCATTTACCCTTAAGACGTTTTCGAGAATAGTGCCAACTGTCTTAAAGAGATACAAGTATGGCTTTTCCAGGACTTTCTACAGAGTGTTTCTCACTTTAAAAGTTTTATAAAAAATTGCACTTTAAAGTCAAAAAAGCCAAAAATTTATATGTGTTACCTCACCCCAAAGACATATTATAGTTTAACTGGTTTGAAACTGGGATGCCACATGCCAGCACAATACTGAGCAAGGTGGAGTTGAGTGGGGGAGGGTGTGTGAATATATATTTTCAGTGTCACCTTAAAAAAAAAACTTGCAAATAATGAAAAGCAACAAACAAAGCTAACTTGAATTCTTCAGTGTTCTGTGCATCAGTTAAAAGCTGTGAGCATAAAACCATGAATCAGATCCAGAGAAGCTGGGAAAGAGGCTCCAGTTACAGCAAAAAGAGGCTCCAGTTACAGCAAGTGAGCTGAGCGTCAGCATCCTGGCTGTGCGGGAAAATGCATTAAGAACCAGCCGAGGTCCGTGATTTCTCATCTGTCAGGTTTCTAAGGCTCAGTTACGGTCTTAATTAGTGATCCCAATTAACATAGATAAAGCTAATTTATCAGTCATTGCATAGGAAATGTGATCTACTTTGGAATAACTAAGAAAAATAAGGGAAGCACTGGAAGACGTACCTTTGAAAAAGACAAATTTCCCATCATGCCGTTCGTAGGCAGCATTAATGTCACCAGGCAGCCCCCGCCAGAAATGGCCGATGGGCATGGGGTAGTTGTCCAGAACTCGGTTACGCCTCACCCTCCAGAACCAACGACCCTGTCGGGAAGAGAGAGCTCCGGTTGGCCTTTTGAAGAACAGGGAAGGGCTTTAATCACGGAGAGGCTGCAGCTCTGTGCACAGTAATGCCGACACTTGAATCCATTCCTTAGAAACAGTAACAGAGGCCTTAAATCCTGCCCAGAGCATGGCAGCAAAGCTAACCTCTACATCCTATCTCCCTGGCTTGCCTCCAGACTGTGAGATTGCTTCAGCTTCATCCAATATTGAAAGCAGAACCAGGAAAGCTGCCAAGACCTCTAAATTTACCCCCCAGCCGCTGATGCACCCACACACACACACTGCTCTTTCCCATTTATTTGTCAATGTGACACATTTGACAATAGATTACACAAGGCTGGATTCCCTTGTGTGCATTCAGAGATATTTTTGTGTTTTTTCAGAGTGTAAGAATGGACTGTGACTGCCAGTTATTGCCAAGTAATTTAAGGGTGTTCTTAAAGGCACGGGATACATTAGTTAGGGGAATAATAGCTCAAAGGTCAATGTGAAAATAACACAATAACTCAATAACAGTCTTATAGTCAGACAGACTGGAACACAGAGAAAATTACAGCAGTGGAAGTTAATACCTGAACCGTCACAGCAGCTATATACTCCATTCAGAGTGTGTTACTTTCTATTCACATTTAAAATGATTCTAAATTATTAATTTGCTCATGAATAAATTAATGAAGATTTTCGATTTTGAAATTCTTAAAGTTCATGCCGTAAACTCAGTTCAAAGACAGGAAGAGTTCCGTGTAGTTTTTAAATTCAAGTCATCCTGTGAGTATGAGACGCTAACACTATGGGCCATTGTGACTGTAATAAGGCAACTCCGGAATTTCCCTCTCTGAGTTGTGTGGCAACGACTGAAAGCCCCTCTTTCAGTGGCTTTGTCAAGAAATATTTTAAAATGTGAATCGGAAAATGGAGGGATGAGGCCTCTGTTAACTCGAGTCAAAACCAGGTCCTCATGTTCTCTCAGAGCACAAAAAATATCAGACTTTGTCTTTATACTTTGACCACCTGGGAGAAAACCAGGCTGTTTATTCTCTGTGAACATGCCTGACCATGTCTGGTCTTCTAGATTGTTTGTTCATTGCAGACATGTGATCACCTCACCTTGAAAACAAACATCTCTCCCCTGAGCATAGTGACAGTGTCAAAGTTTCCCTCGCAGATGTTGGGGCCGTAGTGGTCCGGGCGCTCTGTGGTGTGTGGCTTGTCTGGCCGCCGGGGGGGAGGTCCAGGGGGGGTCTTTGGTGGGACGGGAGGCCTGGGGTCCGGCTGGGCCGGTCTGCGAGGTGTGACGGGTGGCAAGGTCTGGGTAGGGGTGCTGTCTGGTGGCCCTGCAGAAAACAGAATGAGTTTGAATGCCTTGAACTTGGATAATATGTTTACATTATATTTATTTAGCAGAGTCTTTTATACAAAGTTATATACATTATTATTTTTATTTTTTTTGAGAAAGTGGGGTCAGATGGTTCCTGGAGCAATTGGGGGGTTATGGGCCTTCATCAAGGGCCCCAAAATTAAACCAAAGCTAGGATTTGAACCAACAACCTTTTGGTCAGAGGCACTGTGTCCTAACCCACTGAACCACATTCCACCCCAAAATAAGAGGTAAACAGCCAAGCACATGAGGGGGTGGCATGATTTAATGCCCTGCTGGACACACTGAGAGCAACTGCAATGCCGGAGATCTTCTGGTGGAAAGAACCAACCATTCAGTATGAGGTCAAAGTCAAACACTAGTTACCCCCAGCAGTATCAATACAAGCTACTGCACTGAGTCAGTGATTCATTAAGCTAGACCGTTCCTATAAATTCTATTAATGAACAATGTCAGATTTACGGAGCCGGGACACAAAGGCTTGAGGTAACATACACATCCCTATGCTCCTGCTGGACCTGGCCTGGCACTGCTATCCCTTTGGGGGTAGCATGAAGCATGGGGGAGAGGGAGAGAGGGTGGGAATGGGAAACACACAAGCGCCTTGTTTCCAGAGAAAGCACACTGAAGCCCTGTCAGCGGAGAGGCCCACCGTAGATCTGCTGTATCCCCCGCAGGTCATCCTCAGGCAGCTCGAAGTTCTCCGTCTCCATCCACTGATAGAAAGGAGCCATGATGGCTTGAGGGTTGTTGGAGTGCTCTAAGCCCAGCGCATGGCCCAATTCATGCACAGCCACCAAGAAGAGGTCATTGCCTGAACGGAAAGAATTATAACGCTTAATGCAAATGCACACGATTGTTTCCGTGCATTGTGTCAGTTCTTATTCTGTAAAAGTTCTAAATCAGTGGATAAACAGACTGAAGGTGTGGTCTGCGTTCTTGAGTCGCTCCGGTTTTTTGCGAACTATAAAACCGCTGGGTTCCGAGTGGTACCTGCGTGTCATAAAATCGGCACATACACTGGATCTCGTAACCGGCTCTGAGCGGTCCGAATTGTGGTTTTATTGCACCAAACTCAGTAAGGTTTATAGCCTCTCTACATCACTGCGTGCTAATTCAAGCGAGGAACTCTGAGAACCGCTCCTCACAACTCATAGAAACTCTTTGAAAATAAACACAAAACTCCGGGACCAAGATTCACTAGACATAAGGCCCAGTGTCCTCGAGTGTAGGTATTAAAAGTATATTATGGGATTTCTGCTACAGCGTGAACTTCTTTGCTTGGAGAGAAATAAATGTGTACAGTATAGAAATCCACACTATTTTTAGAATGAATACAGTAATGGTGAAAGCGAGGCTTTCCCTGCTATTGCAGGTCCCTGTTCCAGGTAGAGTCTCAAGCAGCTCTTTGTGTCCAGCCTTTCGCTCAACTCCCTGACCCTGGGCCACTTCCCCCTGGCCGAGGCAGGAAGGGCCGCACAGTGGGGTTTGTGTGAGTGAGCATGCCAGTGCGTGTGTGAGCGATTGTTTGAGTGAAAGTGCAAGGGGGCACTGACCCCCCCTGTGATATCCCATCCTCCCACAGCACGCCAGGCGTACGCTCCACCGAATGTCACTGTGTGCGTGCGTGTATATAAGGGAGAGGCGCGTGACTTTGCGCAAGTAAAGCCTTTTACTTGCACGTTTTTACGGAAAAAAAGGGCAAGCGTTACGTTACGTTACTCCCCCGCAGAGGTAATTGCTGCAGTTGCTAGCGATGCTAATGGAGACGTATGGATAAGGGCCAGGCATTTCGCAGAAGGCCTTGCGTGGTGCCCCTGCTTTTACTGAGACTCTGTCGTGCTTTACAGAACCACATCATTTGCGTCAGCTGTTTTCCCATGTTCCGCAAAAATTTACTAAGCCCTAAAAGGCCATTTTATTGCCCCCCAGTCTATGCCTTTGCCTCCCTTTTCACGTAAGGCTGGTGGCCCTCCTGAAGGCTCCTCTCTGCAATGCACACACGGTTCCTGATCAATAGGGTGCAACCATTCCAGTAAGGCAGGGTCCTGACCTTCCAGCATCACAGTTACAATGACCTGCCTCAGCACCCTGCTGATAGGGAAAAGTCCAACTGAATCCCAGCCAAGTCCAGAAACAGGGTTTAGCTCAGCACAATTTCAATAGGGGTTTTTTTATTATTAAAGAATTCCTGGAGGTCAGTTCACTTCAATAGTGCCTCCCCATTTTCTTCAAGCCTGCATGATTAACTGGACTTTGATTTCCTGGATCCGCTCTCTCTGAGTCTGCGTATTTAGTCCGGCAAAGTGAGATCCCTGTGTCCTGATGTCACTCAGGAAAAGCTGAAAAGATGTGTGACTTTGGGGAGGAGAGATCAGGGATGAGATCACGTCTATCTTAGAGGCTGTCAAAGGAAATATAGATGTTTGGGCCCCCATTCTTTCCAATCATTCTAGGGTCCCGAGTATCGATGCAGGAGCATGGAAAAGGGGCAGGGTTGTGACAGTCATGCGACAGTACATGTACAAAGGCCCATTTAAAATCCATTTGCACTAAAAATGTGGCTAGACTAACATCAAGGCTCACTTGCATGCTCACATACACAGCTCAAAGATCCTAGCACCTTCTCCCAGCATCCAGATGTCTGTTCTGTTTTACAGATATGGCGATATCAGCTGTTGGCTCTGCAGACAAATTTCAGACATCGCAGTCCTTTTGTCTCAGGAATGTCGCACTTCTATTGCAAATTACTGGCTATTAACCATAAGCACTTCCACAAGTGAATACCGAGGACTCTTATGTGTCCTGCTAGAATTTGCTGCATTCACTAGAAAACAACCACAGCTTCATTCCCAGAAGATTAGGGATCTCCTTTTTCTGCAACTCCCCAGAAGGATTCATAGATTCCAGAGAAATAGTTGTTCCCCTTCTGAAAACTGTGTGGAATGACTCATAAACTGTTTATTATATACTATTTATTATTTACTACGCACTCTCTGTCCTGCTTCCACTATTGTTTGCACATCTATTTTATTTATTTATTGCTATCCACTTCAATCCTGCATTTTTGCATACTTCTGCTGCTAGAATACAGTATCTGTATATGACAATGAAACCTAAAACCTAGATAAGTTTCTCTTTATTGCCTACATACTCTAGACGACAGCATGTACACCTTTGCGCAGAGATGTTTCTGACACCACCTCCAGGGTTGCAGACCTGCTCTCTTGCCCATTACCCTGGAGTCTCGTCTCTTCCATATAAGGGCTCCGGGAAAGTGGCTGCCCCGCCCCCTGCCCACGGTACCTCCACGATTAACAATACAAATGTGCAGCTAACCATCTGTGCCTCTTTTAACTCAGGAAATGACAAAACTGCTGCTTTATTCCTGGAAAGGGTTCAGTTAATTCCTTGGCGGCGCTTAAGAGAAAATAAGTGAAGAATCAAAATGCAAGGAAAAAACACCAAAACAATCAAGGCTGCTAAAAACCATTGATATTTTTTACGACTGTTTTAGAGTATTGATGTGAGGAGAGGTAGGTGGGACTGAATGAATGGATGACATTACCCTGCTGGTTTGATCATCTAGCCTTTTGAAGTTTAAAAACAGCAGAAGAAATAAGTGTGGAGATCAGCCAATGGAGGGCTTTTCTTTACCAACCATATTAGCATTATTTAGCTGACTTTGAGTCAAGAAGATCACGGTCTGCAACTTGAGATCTGGTTTTAGCCCTGGATACCACCAATAAAAAGGGTTTTCTAAAGACTATCAACCTGAATCAGCTTGTCCTCATATAAACTGATGAGTGAATTTCATTGAGGAGCCCGCTAACGAGAACAAGATGAGCTCAACATTCCAGTTTCTTTTGTAGGTACTTCTGTAGAATTATAAAAGTAGGAATGAGACTAATGTGGCTTTTTCTATTACTGCTGAAGGTGTCATGTAGACATTTAGCTGAAAGAGTGACAAAGTCAACTAACATGACAGAAACCGTCAGCCTAGCCTCAATCATACGTCTATTAAAAGAATTAAGTTAGATCATTTAAAACATGAGGTTCCTTGGCCAAGGACACTCTCTTACTTACTCCAGAGCAGTGATGTCACTGATGGAAAGGATTTCCTATACAACAATGAGGTCTCACGACATTCTACTAGGATGGCCAACGCACTCACCGGAATGGTCTTCATTGGCAACTGTCCAAGGCTCATCCGAGTCAAAATGTGTGTCTCCACCCATGCCGGGACCTGGGAAGTAGGCATGAGCTAGAAAGCCTCCCTCACCATCGAAGGGTGAGCTGTCACCATGGAAACCAGAGGCAAAAAAGATCAGAATATCAGGCTCCTTGCGTCGGCCATATTTGATCTCATGGTAGGGGATCTCCTCAAATCGCAGGGGTGTCACTCTCTCCCACACCCCGAAGGCTTTGCGGATAGCCTCATATGAGTTGGACTCCCCCACTTTCGGTGTGTAGTTTTGGATGCTGGAAGAAGTCGAGACATATACCTCAAATCAAGACATATTCTTCACTCCAACATTCTATGCAAAATAAAACTAGCTGCAGTAGGACGATGAAGTTGAATGAAGCTGTACTTTGACATTTGCACAAGTATATTGGAACTCGATCGTTTGTGCACATTACATCTTGTTCTTCTTTGTCATTCTTGAGACATACATGTATGCCAGGACTATTCAAATCTCAATCCTCAAGGGCTGAGCAATGTCAATTTCCCAGTCTTCCATTACCTGTCAGCCAGGTATGAAGCATCTGTGACCAGTCAAAATCAGTAATTATTACACTAACTGTTTGGGACAACTGGAAAGAAAGGACCAGATTTGAAGAGCCCTGATGTATACTCTGGAAAACAAAGGTTGGGTTCAGAATGCAGGGTCAGCAGTTTATGAGATGACCCAAGAGCATCTTGAGGGGATAATGGCCTTACAGAAATGTGACAAATCTTCCGAGAATGGGACTTCACCTGGCAACCTTTCGACCACAGGCACATAGGCACACACTAGCTAAAGTACAATCAAAAATATCTTAAAGTGTGTAGTACAGGTTTCTGACAGTGACTCATATTTATGAGGGAGCCTCAAACTTAATTTTGTACCTGAATGTTAGCAGGTCTTTGGTCCACTTGTGGCCAGTGAGTGCAAAGCGCTTCCGCCGAACATTAGTTTTGATCTGACCCCCAAACTTGTCTGGGACTCCACAGCGAGGTTTCTTCATAGCCCTGCCCAAAGAGAGAAATTAGCGTCGACTGCAAGTGGAGCTCTAAGCTAGCTCGTAAAACTTTCCATGGGTATCACACTCCATGGTCAGTGTTCTGCATCAGAATCTTTATTGCCATACAACCAAGGCTGGAGGAAATTTTTATTGGTCCAACTTGCTACTGTTGAATACACCATGACAGTAGACAGTTACCAATAACGGGGTGACAGACAGACTAAATACCAGACACAAAAAACACAACAGAGAGGCGTAAATGCAAGGTATGTGAATAATAGTGTAGTTTGTGAAAATTCAAGTAGTGCAGAATATTGACTCAAGCACTTCACAGACAACTAGATAAATCGATACAACGACGTACAAAGTGATATGCCACTCTCCAACTATTGAGCTACTGAGATGGTGCACAGGGTTCAACAGTAGGACATGTGATACGTGAACAACGTCCTCTCAATCGTTTGCATCAAGTCAAGTTACACATGACATATCAGACAGACAGGGTGGGCTGCTTCCTGAAAAGGCTTCCATAACAGAGCTATCAGGTTACTGCCAACCGGTCCCACCACTGCACCTCCTGCTGCTTTTGTAATCCCACCCATGACACGTTTAGGTGCAGTGGGCCAGAAGCAATTAGTTTGACCGTTTTCAGGTGACAGAATGCAGTGCAACCCGACCCGGCAGTGGGGGAGGCGCCGTACTTCTGAGTGGCTGGATCCATCTCGCCGGTGATGGTCAGGCCGTAGAAGCGTTGCATCTCTCTGACGGCGTTGGACAGGATCTGCCCTGAGCGCATGGTGGACATCTGCCAGCTGGTCTGGGGTAGATACCCGTACATCCGTAACCATGCCTGGGTAGAAACAGGAAGGGGGGGGCAGCTCAGCATCACCACAAGCAGATGCCATTAGCCCATTAGCCCAGGCAGATGGGCTGTCGATGTAGGCGATACAAACAGCGGTGAGCCAGAGGTCAGCAGATCACATGACACAGGGGGAGTGGACCTGATCCGTGACATCATCGACTGGTTGCCAATGACTCCATCACAACTCGAGAAGGCCCATTTTACCGGCAAAGTCACGATCATTGCAGCATTAGAAATGTCGGTGTTTTGTTTGTATACATCTGGGGTCTCCAACTCCGGTCCTGGAGAGCTACTATCCAGTAGGTTTTCTATCCTACCTGGCTTCTGATGAGACACACCTGCCCAGGGCTGGAGTTGGAGACCCCTGGTAAACATGGACTGAGGAAAAACGTGTTCACTTTTAAAAAAAAAAAACTACTATCTGACTGCACTTCACTTGCATGTACAGTATAACTATTATAATAACCATTGAATCTCCTTCTGCATCGGATGGCACATGGTTGAAGGACAAATGATCTTGTTGACAGGAGCTTATGTTCCTGTGATGATAAACAATTTCCTAAAGCAGAACCAAATGGCAATATTTTTATTAAAGTAATAAAAATACATATCACACATTTCCCATCTTTCTCAGAAGTACATTAACAGTTGGCAGGATTTTGGATTTAGCTCTTTGAGTTCAAAAGGATCCTATAAAAATAAAGTAACCAGCATTGCTTCCACGTGTCTCTGTAAAGCTTCTCGCAGCAAATGCTCACCAGAAGCAGACAGTGGGAGACAGTGGGACGTGTTTACTGGATGGGAATCATGAGGAGGACCCTATCTGCCAGCTTACAGCCTTCCATTAGGTGCTGAGACCTACTCAGCCACTCAAAACCTCCCAACCCTGAAGACCTGCTTCTGAGCAGGGGCCGAGACCTGTCTGTGGCACGACGCCCCAGTATTCCCATGGTAACGGTGCATTATTATCATCGAGGCCGCTGACCAATGGTCTAGTCAGAGCAAGCTCTGACCTCCCAAGTGCTTCCCCATACACCAAAACGAGCAGAACCTTTAAGAGTGTCAAAACACACTTCCTGGTCTCTGCTCCCCACTCACTCATTTATAACATTTCCTTACTCTCATTCCAGTCAACACCGGCTCCTCTTTTTCCGATCTACTGCCCTGTGAATGTCTGAATGCCCCGTCTGTTAGTGACACACCTATACCTTGTGATAAGCAGCCCTGTCCATTGAGGTTTGGGGGGCAGGGTGTGTGTGTGTGTGTGTGTGTGTGTGTGAGGAAAAATCAATTAACAATAGAAACTAGGGCTCTGTCGCACCCATCAACTCCACTTGGTTCTACAAAAGGGCACCTGGCATCAGCTGTATGAAGGTATTTATTGCAGGGCACTGAAGCAAGTGTAGTACTCTGAATCAAAGGATGTCAGGGATTCGCCGCCAACGTCCATTTCCAGGATGGCAACATTGCATCCTTCAAGGTGCTCGTGCAGGAGAGAGATCTAAAGAGACACATGTTTCACTCATACGCTTCCTTGCCAAGTGCTTCTCAATGACAGCCTCGAGTTACAGTGCCAGGATTAAAGATCCACTGACAGAGAAATTGACACAGATCAGTAAAAATGTGCCCTAGATCGGCCAGGGGTAGGAACTGCCAAGATACTAACAGCTGGATTATGGTTTAACTTCCAGAAGACTGGGAACTTGCCCTAAATGTGTTTTTGGGTGAAACCATAGTGAAAGAGTAAGGGGGGAGTTTTCATTTCAGTGGGACTTTGAGACAGTGGAATTATATCTCACACCTGTCCTGTGTCTGCATTCTCTGAGCAGAGCCTCTCACTGTGCTCTGCCAAAGAGCATCTGCAGATTAATGTTTTTAACTGAATTATGGTGGATTCCATAAGAGTTTAAGCTGCTTATAAAGTAGATGCACTATGAACACCGCAACCATGTTCCACAAAGAACAAATAATGATCTCGAACAAAAGGTCAATTTAGCAGGCCCTTCAACCAACAAAAGAAATTTGAATCCTTCAGAACCCACAAACCACTCTTTCATTGATCCATCGTTTGCCTTCATAACTGCATTCCTACCGCATGCAGTATGTTCTGCAATTCTCCCTAAATCCATTATATCTGAAATATATTATATATATATATATATATATATATATATATATATAGGCTCAGCTGGTTAGAATTCTGTGCTTATGATTGGAAGGTTGTTGGTTCAAATCCCCAGCTTGGTAGTGCTCTTGTTACTGGACCCTTGAACAATCTGTTTTATCCTTAAGGGACCGTCTGACCCTGCTTTCAAAAAAATGTACATTGCATTGGATGATGGCAATAATAGTGTCTGATATATATATATCCAGTATCTGATACTATGTGGACCGCACCATTTCCGCACTTGTCCACTAGTGGAGAGATTCTTGGATGCTGGTTTTCAGCCACTTTCGGAAACTAACGACATTTCCTTCGGCATCACTTCCCTTTGCAGAGAAACAGCTGCTCTGCCCCCACAATCCCGAGCAGCGGTACAGTACTGGGGGAATCGGAATGAGAGGAACGGATGCAGGAATCCTGCAGATGAGCAGCATGTTGGAATGCTGGGGCTGAGGCAGGATGAACAAGAGCGTCCATTGTACCTCCTGAATGGCCAGGGAGCCTCACAGGCCTCAGTGTCTCTGCTCCGTTTGTTGGCAAAACAGCTGTATTGCTCAGCAGGCACAGGCGGAGCAGCTGAGCCACGGTGGCGCCGCCCCATCCCCCCCCCCCCCCCCCCCCCCCCCCCCCCCCCCCCCCCGCCCCCCACCCCAACTCCCTGCTCTGGGTTGGCCACCCGGGAGGGAGCAGACAACACTGTCATTATGGCTCGTGGGACATACAGTCAAGCTGAGCTGTGGGTCTGGGGGCTATGCTGGGCCGTCTTTAGGATGGGGGGCCCAGGGAATTGGGTCAAAGATGCCAGACTGAGAAGAAGAATGACGGACTTGTGGGGAATGAAGAATTGCACAGTAAGAGGCTGAGTAAAGGCAGAGAGAGAGAGAGAGCAGATTTTATGCTTTGTATAAATAAGGCAAACATTTCAAAAAGGGAGCCATCTATGTAATAGAGGATGGTCAAAGGTCAAAAGGATAGATACAGTCCCACGGTAAATGTAATACCGACCTTGATAAATCCATACTCAAACATCTTCAGCTACAGCCATTATCTCATTGTCAATATTGATTATTCTGATGAACATGCTACGTTTCGCTTGTCGTTGGAAGCCTTCAATCGTCAGAAACCAGAATCCTGTAACATATATGCAATAGTGCAGTGGGGCCTGCTGGTTTTATATTGCCGGTATGTTCTTGAGGGATTGCAGAACGTTCCACACTACAGTATGTCAGGCACCATTCACGCTCCTGTGTGGGTGTAGGTTGGCGTATTTGTATCTGTAATTTCAGCCATGTTCCAAAGGGTCTTTATTTGGCAGTGGTGGAAAAAAACAACCTGTTTTTTTCCCATATTACAGGTTTGAATTTAAGTGCATCACATCATCATCTTTCAGACAACAAAGATCCACCATCTGTCTTTCCATTCCAGCTACAGGAAGTGTACCGTCTATTCTAGAAGCATATAATTGTTTCTATTTTAGCTAAATGTAAGAAAACAACATGCAAAATATAGCTATAGATTTACTTTCTGTTTTATTTGCAGTTGGAGATGAAACATGGAATCAATTACATCAGGTACCATCACTGACAGATGTGCAAATGTGGAGAGAGGAACCTATCAAATCAACATAAAACCGGCCACAGGAAGACAAACCCCCACATGTCACGTGAGATGAATTCCTCTCAGCCTAAAGACAGCCTCAGTTCCTGGTTGGTGGCATTTTTGCCACCTCCAGGTTTGTAGTGTGATGAGTGTCTGATAGAAATGAATACCATGCCATTCGGTCAAAGACAAGCTAGCTTTTCCAAAAAGCAATATGCCTTTTCAAAGGCCGACTAAAAGCTCTTTTTAAACAAAGAATCCTTAGTAAACGCAAAATACACACTGTCTACAGGTCTAACTTACTATGTTAGTGTCTTCTTTGGCATTAATTGACCAGCCACATATTGCTGTGTGAGATCTGCTCTCTGGGTATTAGGGGTTAGTAACTTTGTGGCATAGTTCTGGAGGCATTTAGGTACCAGTCTCAAATGGACACAAGTCTGACCAGCCACACATACAAAGTTACATGGAAAGCAGACACTGGCTGTGGAGACACTTCAATGTGAGTCAGATAATGATCCTCACGTTTTTCTCTGGAGCTTCCATCTCTGGAGTATCATAAAAAGCACATGGCCCACTTACCTCGGTTTGACCCTCCTTGGCATAAGCCGGTCTGTACATCCCACCAAGATTCAACAAAACAGTGTAATTACTATGTGCTATACTATCTGCATGTCTGTGGATTAGTAGATGCGAGGCGCGGTTGGGGGAGGGAGCAGATGCCTCGACAGGCAAATAGATGGAAATTCAGGGGACAATACTCTCTGTCTGGAGTGGTCACCCACAAGCCCTTCTGTCAACATTTAACAATAGCTGTTGATGTAGAGCCTGCTCACTCAATGAGTTTGGGCAAATCCAATCTGTCCCTCCTATTGCTTCACCACCAATGTTGTTGTCTAAGCCTGCAGACCGTTTTATGACAGGTGTGTCAGAAAGTCAGCACAAAGACAACGGTGGGGGTGAGAGTAAAAGGGGGGGGGGGGAAGGGAGAGAATAGAAGAGGAAGGAAGAGATGGGTGGCCATTCAAGGAGGGATAGTAACTGAATCTACTAAAACAGCAAGTGCATGCGGATATTGGAAGTAATGAAAGGGCCTACAATAACCAATGAAGGAAGGAGTAAAGGGACGTGCAAGAACCCATCAAACATTTCTGCCAAGATAAACCACGTCGGAACTATACGCAGCTTTTAACAGGTTCATTCATAATAAGAAACTTTTGCGGCATCAAGACAAGGTAACAGCGGTGAGCTTTCTATCAACTCCTCACTGCTCCAGAAGAAACTCTACAGCAGGGGTGGGAATCTTATCCGCAAAAGGCCGGTGTGTATGCAGGTTTTTGGGATAACCTATAGGGCAGCTGTTCAAACCCAGGTGTGAGGAAACTTCAGCCAATCAGTCCTCTAATTAGTAATATGATTAGGGAGTTGCAGCGAAAACCCACATACACACCGGCCCTTTGCAGATACACAGTGTGTTTCATGTCCACATATGGTCTCCACTGCGAGGATGTCGAGGAAGTCGGCGAACTAAGGCGATATGTGTACTTTGGCGGCGGCTTAAGGTCAGAAATTAGAAAATTATAAAGTCAGAAGAAGAAATCAATACAACCACGTTACAATATTGTAAATAACGAAGAACACGTATTTACGAGCCGCTGCAACCACAAAACCTACCAAGCCAAGTCATATGATGATGTACAACGTGTAATACGCCGATAGCTGCCAATGGTAATATTTCATAGTATTAACTTTAGTAACCCATCCACTCATTAGTACGTGCTTAAGTGGCGAGTCCACCACTGTCGACAGAAGTCAGAATGAAATTAATGTACTTTTCAACGTATCCATTACTATCATCTGTCACACTTGGAAATTGCTGAAGTTAACTGACCAAGTGTACATTTGTATTCATATCACTCTAATACTAGATAAAGTTGCGGTTTTGACTACTTACAAGCTGACTTAATGTACCAAACATTGAATTGCTGTAATTTTAAAGTGCAAGAAAATGAATGCAATGGAACCCAATGTAATAGATCAATCAAAGATAAAAAACGATGCATCACCTCAGGGTTGAAGGACTCGTCTTCCCCAGCATGCGAACCGCTACTCAGTAAAAGCAGGAATGACAGAACCGCGCTCCATTCGATGAGCAACATAGTCCAACATTTCATCGACGATACCATTGTCTTATCCGGGCGCTGTCACCCTGCTAGCGGAGCAACCTTGTCAATCCACCCTTGACAAGGACGGGTGCTGACGCGGTGTCTGCTATTTAATTAAACTTAGAAATTTAAGTCCTTTGTTTCTTGGTGCAGCAAAAGAAAAAATAGATTGAGCCGAGGAAATAAACACACATCGACCGCATCAAAAATCGCGGAAGCTGACAATAATCCGTACTGTCACTCTCAAGGACGCGCTCCATTCACCAAGGGGTAAACAAATTTTGCATGTAGTATACAGGACATTTCTATTTATTGTCGAACAAATGTCCAGAAGTTCGGTTCCAGCGTTTGCAGGCTCCTGTAAGTTATGTTTCCTGCCCTCCCGGTCAAACAAGACTGACAGCACAGATTTTAACCGAACTGATCATTTTCACTCGTGCGTCCTAATTAAACACCGTATGCTGTTGTTTCATTCCGCAATTCGTAATAAAAAAAAAACTTATTGTATCTTAAATGTGCTCATTTCACTGTTTCCCCGCATATTCTTGGTTTTGAGTTAATTGCGCTGGCTGCACCAAAACAGAGAAGTTTCGAAATAAACACGCTTGAGAACAGAACGGACAAAAATATATATGTAACTCTTAAAATGTACTTGCAAATCAGCAAACACAGAGGTGGTACAATCCAGATTTCTTTCAGTTCATACGCATAATACCCTGCCGACATGCAGGCTACTTCTTGTGCCTTCCTTCTTTCTTCAGCTTAATAAAACACGGCTGTTGGACGCCCCCTTTCAGATCTCTCATGGGGGGGTTGGATGGGGAAGGGGCTGGCGATGGATGGCGGATGAGAAGATATAACCACGCTTCCTTAAACTTCACTTCACTCGTATCATAGTAATTCGACAAGACTATGATTTATTAATTAAATGGTGTCGGTGAATATTTTGTGATTCATATGGTGAATAAAACTAAAAATGATAGAAGCAGAAGCCGAAATGTGACTAATTAGCTTGTGCCAGATGTTTTAATAGTGTCCCAGCGTATGTTCTGTGCAACTTCGGATACACTCAGGCTCAGATTAGCAAGTGCTGACGGTACCACTAATTATCATTTACTTAATTAATTCTGCGTGATTTATGGCATATTTATTAAGCACTGAATAGTAAATTTACAATTTATAACTTTGTTAAAGGCAATCGCGCCGTAAATGACATCAGACATGATATGCATTTTCGGGTCCACTTCTGTATCGCCTAGGTAAGACTGTAAATAACCATCTTTAGCGTGTTGAATGTCACCATCAAAAGGACTGATAAGCTGAACGTCCTCTTATGTGGATGTGGCACCGGAAGGCATATTTAATTGTACTGTGTGCGGGGATGGGATGGACAGGTGCTTCAGGAAGGGATGCTGAGAGCATCCTTCTCAATGCAATAAAATTAGCCAGAAACAATCGGGTTGGTGGGTGGTCTTATTAACAGCTGAAAGGACTTTCTGATCAGATACAGAAATCCCAAAGAACTAGACAAAGCTCACATAAGTCATGACCACTAGGGTTTGGCTGTACAGATATTGCAGATGTAAAGATATTGGATCGAATATTCATAGTTAAGTTACCACGAGACCTGATTTATTCTGGCTTTGTTCATAAGCTTAATAATTAACTGTTAAATAGATGTGAAGATCGTCCTTTTTAGTCATTGTGTGTTTGTTGTAACATTTTTTTCGGCNGAGGTGAAATAAAAAAATATTATGTTGTTTGCCGTATTTCCAGCATAGAGTTCATAAGAATACTCTGAGCACTTCTAGGAAAATGTGTAAATGTTTCCCCCTTGGTTGCCTCGGCCTCGTAATTAAAACTTGCTGTTGAGTCTGACTCTAATATTGTGCATTTATAAGGTTTGTGTGGGGTCTTTCCAGTTAGAATCATGAACTCAGGAAAAATCCGGAGAAAAACATCATCTTTTCGATAGGTTATTTGACCATTTCCACTTTTTTCATTTGTGATGCTGATTTTGCTGCCCTTCACGCGGCTTTTACGACACTGCATTTTAGTGCCTCCTCATCCTTCCCGGCCTATTAAAGCCACTTTGACAAAGGTGTCATTTGGTGGCACCCTCTGAAACTGGGGCTGGTTTTTAGGAGAATTTAATAAAGCACAGAGCTTTCGTACAACAGGCGAACTTGATGTTTAAGTGTACCCTAAAAAGATTTGAAGACTAAGTAAAATCAAATTAAATGGGTCAAATGCTATGAAAGGCGATGGGCGGCCTCTGCTGGCGAAAAGTAATTATTATTATTATTAGCGAATGCGAGTCCGGGTCTAAGCAGAACTGCAGATCAAATTGCCTAAAGCCCACTGGACTTTTCCCACATAGTGAGGATCTCACGGCTTCTTACCGACAAGAGAAAATGACGACGTGCTGAAGAGTGCACATGAAAGAGGAATAAATTCACATTCCACAGTTATTAATAACTTATGCCTACATCTTAAGATTTTTTCTACAATGGGACCACAAGCACAACAGCACACATGTATGTACATTGCAAAGGAAAACATTTCTGATCTGAACAGCACAGAAGAGTACTGAGAAATTGACAGATTGGCTCAGCCAATCGCATTGTTCCATATAAAGATGAACCGCCCAAAATAATACGACTTTTGCCTCTCACATTTCGTCGTAATAGGCTACTTATCACACAAAGACAACAATTGTGTGAGGTAAAATAGCAAATATGCAAAGTGAAACAGCGAATGGTGAAACACCATTTTTTTGTTTATGTGTGAGGTAAATTTAGTGAATGTGAGATCATTTTTGTGTACGTGAAAGGACGTTTATAATATGACTTAAACGGCACCTCCTGTACAATCGTGTATTGAGATTGGATATATCCATTTCTCTACCCATCACTGCCTTTGATCAGTGATCTCTGTTGTCATCCTCCATATGATCTCTCATTCTCCGTCTCTTCAGATCCATTAACTCAGGTCTCCTTGGATGAGCTGATGGCCTGCGGTGCTCATGTATCTGTGCCCAAGATCATTATCCACATGAGAAGCTCCTGGTCTCAGGATGGCAAGGACATAGAGTTTTACCTGATAACCCTACTTAAAGTGTGTGGACATCTATGGATATACATATTTCAGCAATATGCTTTTTTTTTTTTTCAGAAAAAAAAAAAAAAAAAACACCAGGCTTTTTAGGCTTAACATTACCCAAGGGCACAGGTTTGGTTTCAACGTTTGTGGGGACTCAATAAGCCTGCCCCACCGCCCACCACAAACACATACACTATACTACCGTAATACCCTTGACATTACGTAATTTTGTCACAAATAATAAAAAAAAAACTGCAAAAACAGTCAGCCACCAGGGGCAGTATTAAGAAACACAGTTATAGGAAATGGAAGGAAGGTTGGATGTATTTGGATGTCTTTAACAAACTAATAATGACCTTAAATGTTTATGTCAAGAAGCCATGTGTTTAGGTAAAATCATCAGTTATGCAATTTTGCATTAACTGGATGTAAATCTTACTTAAATCAAGATTTCGACATGGTTACACTGACTTCCCGGGCAGTCTGAACAGCAATAACACATCAGTCATGCAGCTGACTGATGTGTCAACATAAGAAAATTACTTGAGAATTTTTCAAAACCTGTGCTGCAAAATCACAAGTCAGTAGTCATGCGATGCTGTCCAAAGTAAGCAGTACTTGAATTCATTAAGATTTTACTTTAAAATATGCTATTGGAGTTTTTGATTTTATACAATAATTTTTCTTTGTTCTTCCATTTTAATTAATTTCAAATTTGTTTTTTCCACAGCAAGATAAGGAGCCAATATGCCATGTTTATAAATGTAGGAAAAAATTACACACAACTAAACATAAAGCACAGTAATGGTTATATTACACATTTGCTTTCTCACTGGCTTTTTTCATCTATATAAGATACAATTGAAAAATTTGTATTATTGCAAAAGTACTATTTGACTTTTTACAGGCTGACAACTAGCCTGAGCTGTTAATGTCACACATGCAATATCTTCACCTAATTAACTAGCCAACTAAATTAATAAAAATCTAGCTGGTTTATAAATATATAATGTATAACCTACATACATTATTGAATGTTATTAATTTATATAACTATCATATTTACAATTTCATAGTTTGATGGACACGAAGGCTCAACTGAGTGGAATCAAAACAAAAATGAGGGCTCTGTCGCTATAATCTTGTCGTCTTCATCATTTTTTAACTCAATGTGGGCAAAACTCCTCTGATAACAATGCAAGGAAAACGCCAGTTTTGTTGTCAGAACCTCTGAAACTCCTCACATGTGAAACAGCCTTTTAAAAAATGGCTGAATGGCAGCATGATGTAAGAGGTCTAGGTGGTGTTGTGGGGAGCAAACATCTCATGAACTTTGTTGTTTTGGAAGTCTGGCCCCAATGGTTAGAAAACATGTTTTTTATTTTTTTATTGGACACAGATGTCCACCAGTATCTCAGATAGAGAAAAGTCATGGCCTACATCAGTCTTGTGGGCTGTAGTCTGTCCTTAATGTTCATGCTTGTGACTCTCATCGTATTCTACAGATATAGGTATAGAGAGTGCTGAGTGAAATACCACCCATGAAATCTTCCTCTCCGCCTTGTACCTCTCTACCCCCATCTCCCAATCTTCCAGCAGTGAGTTAGTGGCAAACCTGTTAGACTCCAATCCCTGTTTGTACATGGCTGTCCTGCTGCACTACTCTCTCTCAGCCACCTTCAGCTGGATGGTCACTGAGAGCTTTCACTTGTGCCTGCTGCTGATTCATGTCTTCAGCACCTACATCAAGTGAAACCTCCTCGAGCTGAGCCTCGTGGGCTGGGGTGAGGCCTTCAGTGAATTTTATCTCTTGACTTAATTTTTCAAACTATTTCATCCTTTATTGTGATGCTTCTTACATCTCTAATGTATTACTGGGCCATTTGTAGACCATAATTGGTTGTTATCATTGCTAACCTTGCATGAGATATGACCTACTGTTAATGAAATTATGACAGGTTTGATGGACATTCTTTTCTTCTACATGAGACAAACAATGTAGTATCACCTCCTTCCACATACCCTACATTTTGTCTTTGTCTGACTTACTGTATGTACTGGAGTTTGCAGCTTGTTGGTCAAGCACAGGTTCTTTGTAAAATGGCAGCATGGATCTTACTGGGTGAAGCCATCGGTTTCCATGACACATTTGTTTAGGTCTTGTGAGAGGTTCTCCTTTGTGCCCATTACGGGAATCAGTAGCTGGCATCATCGAGAAAGAGGCGTATCAGCTTGTGAGGCTTCCCATTACAAACAGTGCAATGGTTCTCTACATCTACACTTTCTCTGGACTATTACAAAAACAACATTTTTCTGGAATAATTTGGATGCTATCTTTTCCGATACTGAGTACTCAGATCTTCAGCCTCAGGAAGTATGGGAGCGCTGGAGCACACCCAGTGCCTTCTGGTGAAAAGGGAGTCAGTGCCTTACCGTCAGTAACTGGTTATGCCAGTTCAAGAAGTGATGACTGTAACCAAATAACTCCTGTCATACCTGTAAATCAGTTTTTTTAAGGCACCCTGGAGGAATTATTCTGAGATGTTCCACGCTGAACTGCTTCAACTCAAATCATGTTTGTAGGTTCTAGTACAGGGCCCTCAGTTTAAGTGTTACCCTAACATCTTGATGTGCTTTGAATTTGGACTCCTAGCATTCTGGAGTGCTATACTGATGAGGCAGAATGGCAGAGATACTCTTCTTTCTCCTTTTTAATTTGACATAATCACATCATTTATTTTGGCTACTCTGTTTTCCTTAATTTGCATGGTATTAGGTGTTATAAGCGACCTAGAGATCATTTAAAGTATACGGAATGATGTGTGTAGGCTGTATGCAAATACTATGGCATTTAGTTGAAGGGATTTAAGCATCCATGGATTTTGGTATCGGGGGGGGGGGGGGGGGATCAGGACACAACCTGCTCCTAGCTGTGCCCTACCTATCCTGCATCCTGAACTCCCTGCACGGTCAGTATGTCTATGTAGTCTGTATACTTTAAGTTTGCTAGGGCTTCTGCTACATAGGGGTAAGAAATGCGGACAGCGCAGTCTTATTGTCACATGTGATGCACCGCATCTAAAGAGCCTCAGAGGACCTCATATCAGTGCAGCAAAAGTGCTGCAGAGGATGATAACACCATTATGAAACATGTCAGAACTGATCTTTCCATTATATGAAGAAATGTGCACAAAGGAGAAATTTAAGGTTATGGTGTCAGATACAGACTTCAAAAAAATTTGGGCAAAAATATTTCAATAAAGATGTCAAAAACAACCCCACAGCTATAGTGAAGGATCTGCCAGTCCTGCTTGCCATCTATAATTTCCATGTTGACACCCCTAATGTGAGATTAATATGACATCTTGTAGGTGCATTCTGGCCTGCCGATCTTAATCACTTACATTAAGGGCCTTCCTCAAGGGCTGAATGGTGAAGGAAAAAAAAAAATCACTGTACTGTGGCATTTAAATTGACAACCTTCTGATCACAGCACCATAAGCCTTGTCCATGCAAATCCTAACCACCGGACAAAAGCATCTGCCTTGTTATACATCTCAAGGATATATCTTCAGCCATATTTGACATCCACGACAGTGTAAGGTTTAAAATAAAACTTTATTTAAAGTTCTAGAATAAATTATACAAAACAGCTGTTTGAACATTATAGATATTGCTGGATGTGACTTTTCCCCACAACTTTTTAATCCCTACACTGAACACCAGACCACGAGCATCTGCCCAGTAACCAACACAAGCATTACAAACCATTACCTGTGTTTCCAGAGGAACAACGGATGAAAAAAAGACTTGTGTTTACAAACACTAAACTACATATCAATAAAACTGTAAACATTATAATTTTAGGAAAGTCAGTGAAGGCATCTTTTGGCAGAGGTGCCCGGCACTGTAAAATGCAAACTGGGAATGGATGTTCAGCCTCTTTAGGGTTCAAGAAGTTAATTGCTCACAGTGGCTGACATTGAGCAGTGCTGTTCATGTCACTGCATGCAGTGAGCTTGCTCGACCTTCCAGAGAGCAGTATGTGGTACTTACACGATTTTTCTTTTTGGCTAAAAACAAGACAATACAGAAAAATCGAATTGCATTATACCAGCATCGCTGATGAATCTTCCTGCATAGATGGGCATGGACACAAAGAGCTGCTTTGGGTGGAGCCAGAACACCTTCTATGTCATTCCACAAGCTTCCCCAAAATGAAAAGAAACCTCTACCTGCCCAAAGATTCCCCCTGCTTGCGAAAGCCAGTGTCAGTTATGTTCTTTGGGCTGCCATACTTAGGGAGATTAAAAAGTCTGAGATAGTAAAAGCTGAAAAATATATTTTTAAGAGGTATACACTGGTGTTACAGTATCGAAGAACATTTGATAACATGTCAGGTCTATCACCGAAGCAGAAAATACAGTGGTACCTCGGTATTCGTCCTTAATCCCATTCCACATCCTTGGACTTAAACCAAACAGGGCGCATACCAAAGGAATTTTTCCCATAAGAAATAAAGGGAAAATGATTAATCCGTTCCCATGAAAAAAAATCAGATTGTTATTGGTATATTATACATTGATGGGGTTGTATAAAAGAATTTAAACACTGCTTAATACTAAAATACAAAAGCACTTAGATGAAATAAATGAAAAGAGTTATAGCGCGAGTTGTTCACTGAATGGTAGCAACTGGCGTACTGACGCTGATGGGCAGTCATGGCTTTGTCTCGAGAGGTAAACAAGGGTAGTGCGCGGTGTCCTGACTGATTTTGACCCATACAAGTTGTAGCACGCGAGTCGTATTCCAAACAAAGGTCGAATACAAGCAAAATTTTTTGCGTCCAAACAGGACATATACCAAGTTGGACTTATTCCAAAGCGGACGTATACCGAGGTACCACTGTAATCCGCAACACAGTGACCCCTGGTGGCAGTTGGTGCATTAGCCAGCACCATAGGCCACACGTACATACTGTTTGTGGTTCCCCAAAGCCGAGCACCGACCAGCGGCACCCAACAACACTGCATGTCACTGGAACAAACCCCGAAGGTGAAGCTGCGTGAAGCCAGCCACTGCTGAACATGGTGATCTGACCATCTCCTGCTAAGGCATGAAGTCCTGAAACGTTCAAAGACCTTTGGAGAAGTCGATGCGTAGGATAATGAGGAGACATTTCTCAGTCTGCAGGCACTGCCACCAGTGTGACGAACTGAAAGCTACAAAGGTTACTGGATCCCCAAGGTGAGTGTACAGCGTGCTTGGCAGAGCGCAGGCCTAGTCCACCTTGTCCATCTCTGTGAGCACACAGCAGCAGGTGAACTGCGTGAAGTATGTGAGGGAACCTGTCCGGGAACAGGGGTCGGGGAGCACAGGCAGGCATCTGGATGACACACCCACCAAAGTCCAAATATCCAACATAAAACATGCTACACTGCCTGGTTTCTTGAATTTTATTGATCGTCTCAGCAAAAATATCGCACATTAACTATTCTGCCATAGCTCTTTTACAGTGAACTTTTGTAGACTTTTGTGTTTCACAATTTCCATACAGACAAACCAGAGATTTAAGTGAGTGACCTTGAGTAAAGCTAGATGATGCTAGAAACAGTTTGGGAAGAGGTAGGCAGTGAAGGGGGCTACTTACGGAGCAGTTTTTTGATGACGGGTGGCCTTTTGGACTCTGGTAAATAGATGCCGAGTACGTAGACGGGCACCCCGGAGAGGGCGATGGCAATTCCGATGAGAGAGTTAATGGTGTCACTGTAGAGGGGCACGGCCACCAAGAACACAGTACAGAAGCAGAATACAATGGGGTAGAACAGAGACAACTGCAGAAACACAGACACAAGGGGTGACCATACACACGAGAGGAGGAAAGGATTGGGAGGAGAGAGCAAATGGAAAGTTTATTAAATGCAAAAAAACCAAGGTATAAAAACTGGTTTGCTTTTGTTGTCCTTTTACTCTCACCTTGAGAGGTCTGGGCCTGTCCGGTTCCTTCCAGCGCAGGTAGATCTGCCCAGCAATGGACAGACCCACGAAGAACCAGTAGCTGAAGCTATAATAGTTGATTAACTGGAAGACGTCTTCCACGGCCAGGTAGATCAACGCCATGGCACACTGTACGCAAGGTTGCAGATCATCAATCTTACCAGCAGGGGGCAACCAAATATTGAAACATTTTCCTTTATATTGAAATTAATGAATTGTTTCAGTAGTCACTTTTTTTGTTTCCTGCCTCCAAATCTGTGTGTACAGTTTTACATGTTCTCTGAGTATTAATACTGCATTAGTGCTTATAGAATATGTTTGGGAATTGTGAATGGCAATTTTCATAATGAATGGCAAATTCCATCTTGTAACAGGAGAAATTAAAAAGTACAGCAACATACATTTTATATTGATGAAATGTATTTAATCTACATGTGAAAGGCTTCGCTATACCAGTTTCCCCAGAGATAAAGCATGACAGCACCCAGGCCTTACGTTGAAGAGGAGAGCAGGGATGGGAGTGTATCTCTGCACGTGAATCATCGAGAGGGCGTGCGGAAGGTGGCCTTCGCGAGAGCCCACGAAGAAAAGTCTGTCATTGGGGAGACAGAGGGCAGTTGGAGGAAAGACGGTAATGTCACATTATCACAGAGTTTAACAAAACTCAGCATGCTGATTTGGTCATACGAGTCACCCATGGAACTGAAATCACATGTGTCTTGAATAATTAAGGCAGGTTTAAGCTAATAAAGTGTGGAGAGAAATGCCAGCTCTGTATTTTGTGTAAACACTACAGCTGCCATCACATGGTTTCATATCATTAATGGGTCCTTTACACAGCAGCCATTTTGATGTCATTCGTGACACCTGGGCTTGCCATACTATTTCAGGCCCATTAGTTACAGTATATGAAGACATGTGATGCCACATACAAGCCATGATATGTTCATGATATGTTTAATCATGGTCATTTTTCATTTTGGGGATAACATAGTATCACGCAAAATAGAGAGCTGGTGAAGAGCTTCAAAATGATATGAGAACCATTTTTGTGCAACTTGTATTAAGGGAGCCAGTCAAAATCATTGGGGTTTGGGGGGACCACAAGCTCACACTTTGTTAGCTTAAATGTCCCTTAATATTCACCCTAGACATGTGCAATTTCTGTTCCGTGGGTCACTCATATGACCAAACCAGCGTGACAAGTTCCGTTAAAATCTGTCACAATAATGTCCCAAAGTGTAATGATGTGACAGGGAAATACCTGAGTTCTGTTAATAGCCTCAAACCTGCTTACATGGGCTCAAGGCCAAACGCAAAGGGCACCAAGGCCAACCCCATGTGACAAAAATATATCATATTAAGAACAGGCCAACCCCCCCTTCACAAAAATGGAAAAGGTTATGATTTCAGAAGGAAGACCCTGGTCACAGCAGATATTATAAAGTGCATCCAGATGGCAACAAATAAAAAAATGAAAATTATCAGGCATAGAGCATATTAGAGGTGCAATTAATGAATGTTTGTCATACAAACCAAGGCAATCTTTAACAATAAAGATTTTGGGGTTGGCCTGAAGAATGTAAGAAGTGATTAGTGAGTAGAACAGAACACAGTTTGGGAAGCCCTACCTCCCTCACACTGTGACACAACATGTTTGTGGCATTAACATGAAGTAATACAGGAAGTATGTGTCTGCACAGCCCGCAGACACCCGGAGCCGGGATGAGTAAATGATAGAGATGACGGGACAGCTGACAGCCAAGGGCGAGGTGACAAAGCCGTAACGGGGAATCCAGAGCCAGGACTTTGACACGGGATGCTTGCTCACCTGGAGGCGGCGATGATGGAAGCGTTGAGACCGCCGTAGCAGGAGAGAGCCACAGCTATGGGTATGGTCCAGCTCATCACGCCCAACGTGTGGTCAGCAAACGTCTGCACAGAGATACAGAGACGTGGTGTTTACATTTAAACACAGGCACTGCTGACTCCTGGGTACTCACGTATACCAACTTGTAAATACACAGGATACACTGCACATAAAATAACACTGAAAGTGTTTTAAAATTGCTTTTAAAAGCAAATCTATATCTAATGACAAAAGATCAGGCACCATTCATGTTCATGTAATGAGAGACAAACCACAGAAAAAGTTTTTTGTGTGCCATTCGGTTCATAGCAGATGCATAAAAATATCATAATTAATGTGTATTTAGCACACATTGTTGTCCAAGGTGATGCAGAGCAGACCAGATAACCAGGAGGAGTTAGAATTAAAAACCTTACTCAAGGACCCAACTGTGATGTTATTGAAGTGACTGCATGATTCGAACCCACAACCTTCCGTACACAGGCAAAGATCCCTATCCCACTGAGCAACCCTCCTATAAAAGGTAGAACTCATCCATGTGACCTCACACTTACCACAGCAACAGCATCACTCGCAAGAATAGCCCCCATGTCCAGGACAGCGTAGTAAGCCACGTTGGTGAGGATGTAGATCACCGTGACGACTGGCATGGAGATGGCGATTGACAAAGGCAGATTTCTGTAAAGACACAACAGATCCAGTCCCATCAAGATCAAGAACCTCTCACATCAAACAGGAAACAATTCCTGGAAACTGTCCTTAAATGTCTCTTTTTAAATGTAACATTACTCTGGTATGCCAGTAAAAGACACTTATTTGATTCTTTGTTGAGTGAATTTGGGGCAACCGTGCTAGGAAGGGCGCTATATAGAAATAAAATGTGTGGAAAATTAGCAAATGCCGGGGATGTTCTTCGGTTTCGGCATGTCTTCCGTTTCTCTGGGGAAGGGCACATATGAACCTTACTGCCCTTCACCAAGAAATGTCCCTTTTTTTTTGCAAAATGGCCAGACAAAACATGTTTAACAAAAATAAAACAAAAGAAATTAAACAAAAAACATATCCCGCAACTTAACTATGTGCAATATCACAAAATAGGTAGGTCTAAGTGATGGTTCACTGAAGACAAGGCCAAACTAGAGGACTGACAATGAGAGGAGTACACAGCTCTGGTGACAAATAGACTGACCATAATACAGTCATTTCTGTCCATCCCTTTTTAGGGAAAAAGTCCCCTACAATTCTGGAAATTCAGGGCAATAAGAGTGCTGTATCATATGAGAGTCATAGATTTATGTTCCTGCAGAGTTATGCGCTATAAACAAGTTAAACTTGTTAATTGTATGCTTCAATAACCTCTGCATTGAAATCTTTTCTTAATTAAAGGCATTTCCTAATTGCCAATTCTGCTCAGTTGACATCACCACGTTCAAGTTGTTTTTCTCTACACTGTGAGTCATTACGCTTCATGAGATTGTGTTCTGGTTCGACTGGAGGAACATCCAGAGGGCAAACAACAGCCACATCAATGCTACCCATGAAGTTGCCTAATGATTTAATCACAGGCAATTAAGAGTCTGGGACCTCAGCTCAGGATGACCGCGCTTACTGCCAAAGAACTTGAAGAACTGGTAATGGGCAATCTGCAAGTCATTTAAGGTTGCTTAAAGACCACTGAGCTCCGTAACCAATCAAACTGAAAGAAGAAACACCAAAGAAAGGCAGCAATGCTTGAACATTACATTCTGGAAAGAGTAACACGATATCAACCTCTCCGGGTTTTTTATCTCCTCTGTGACAAAGTTGAGCGTGTCCCAGCCGGAGTAGGAGAAAAGTGCAGAGTAGAGGCCCAGGGCAATGTCACCAGGTTTCCAGGACGAGCCTTGAAAGGAATCCTCAAAATTTATGGTGTGTCCTATGTGCAAACACAAATACATATATGAGCATGTGAGAAGAAAAACATATTACATTAGCACAAAAAAAAAACCATAACGTGATAAATAACAGCTCACTGCTAAACATGAGCAAAAGCAGAAATGGACGTGGGTTGCAACAGGGGTGGAAAAGAGGGACAAACACACTTCAAAGCAACCGGGAAGAATGAAGCAGTCGCTCACTTTGACAGAGTTTCACGATGCCAGTGATGATGATGACTATCAGGGCTATGACCTTGGCGTAGGTGAAGATGTCCTGGACGCGAGTGCCCCACTTCACGTAAGCCGAGTTTATGAACGTCAAAAAGCCTACGAGATTGGGAGGGAGAACACACTGAGAATCTGAGAGCGGTGCTTCCACCAGATAACTTCCCAAATTTCCACCACCACACCCAAATGAAACATACCAAAAGTACATTGATCTGGCAAAAAAACAATTATGGTATATACTTCTTAATAAAACCCAGGATATAAATGCTAAAATGTCTGTGGACCGCATAACTGAGTATAGTATAGCACACATTATAGGCTAACCTCCAGGACAGCAAATTACAGGAAAACAAATAGAAAAGTTCTTAGTAATTTGCACTGGTTATTTTGTTAGCATTAAATCACTGGATGAACTTAATAATAGTCCAATCAGACTTGGAGAAGAGCTTAAATTTTTTTAGATTAGCTGTAAACTGCTACTTGCAAATGCATCCAGGTTCCTGATCCCAGAGAGACTCACAGATACAAGCAGCAGCGATGAGACGGGAAGCAGCGTAAGGCGGATCACAGCTGGGAAAGAGCGGCTGGATGAGGTAGTTGGCAAACGTGATGGCGATGATAGCCTGGCTGGTCGGCTCGATGATCAACAGAGACGTCCACAGGCGGATGAAGGCGATGAAGCCGCCGAAGGACTCCAAGATGTAGGCATAGCTGGCACCCGACTTGGTGATGGTGGTGCCAAGTTCAGCATAGCAAAGTGCTCCAACCACTGAGAATATTCCTCCGATGGCCCAGAGGACTAGCGACAGGCCGAAGGAGGCACTGTAGATGAGTACGCCCTTGGGGGAGACGAAGATGCCCGAGCCAATCATGTTTCCCACGATTAGGCTGATGCCATTGAGAAGCGAGATCTCCTTCTTCAACTGCATCCCTTCTTTCACCGGCTCCGCAGTGCTGACTGGGAGCAACGATGGACTCCCGTTCAATGTTTCACCTGATTCAGGATATTTGCCCATCTCCACAAACCTCCAACTCACCCTGCATGAAGCAATATAGAAACAAAACAAAAAAATAAACCACAACCACCAAACTCTATCTGTGTTCTGCAAACAGCAATAGCAAACTCAAAGCACTGCTGGCTGAACCAGTAACAAGATCACGTTACTCTTTTCACTTACATTCCAACTCATGTCAATGCACTTGGAGGGAACATTCTACATGTAGCATAAAATAAGCCACAAAGATGAGGAATACTTTACTGTGAATACACAAAACACAAACACACACACTCCTGTGCTCATATCTTTGTGGGGACTGTCCATTCATTTTTATGGGAAAAACCCTAATCCCAAAACCCCCACCCAGTCCTAACCTTAACCATAAGTAACCAAATAAAATACAAGTCTTTGGGCATTTTTAGTTTTTTGATTGCAGTCACAGATTTTTATTTTAAAAACATCAAAATAACAGGTTTTATCACATTATGGGGGCACTTGGTCCCCACAACATAATGTATACCTGGACCCCCCCCCTACACACACACACAGACACACAATTAAAAAAACTTATATGTATTTTAAAAAACTGCTAAATATTTAAACTTTTCAGTCAAGGTTAGTATTAAGGATGTTCACCTGCCTTTAATAAAATGGCCAAATAAGTAAAATACTGAGTAAGAAATTAAGAATTTGCACATGAAATATATGTCAAATAAAAAATATGCATTTCACTAAAGACTCTAAAGACTCCATAAACACACACCAGTATGCAAAAGTCTTAGGCAAATAAAATGTTTAAGACTATTGAACTGGGTAGTAAATGTATATTCACTTAGAATAAAAAAAACTGAATTTTACATTAGATCTTGCAAATTAACGCTAACACAACAAAAATAAACAATTTCTTTTGTTCTGCAAAAAGCTGCAACGCTTTGGTTCCCACACCTCTCCCCGGGGGCACATTACCCAGTCCATGCATTCATTCAATCTCTTCACCAGCTCAGTTAATTGATTAATTAACTTAATTAATTAACTAACTATGAGGATTTGATTGGCCAAACAAAGTGGGGTAGTGATTTAGTCAAGAAAACACATTGGAGTATAGCATGGTTGCTGGAAATACTGGGATGATTTTAGGACAGGTTTTGAAATAGCTAAGCTGACACGCTTTGACGATAAGTGTTAAACCAACATGAAGATCATTTAAACAATTTTCTTTGACTGCCTTAGATTTTTGCACAGTACTGTATATGCATGCATGTATCCATGGAATCATCCCACACACCTCAACATAAACAAGAACATTTCACCTGAACATAACATCATCAATTAGTATGTACTCAACAGTAAAAAAATGTGGAAAGACAGCTAGCTATAGTTTCTTTCCCAGTAATTATTTGCATTGCTAAATGAGTTAACCAGTATTTGTTTAAATGTGATGTCTGAAGTTACCTGAAAAGTACTCATATGTCATGTCAGATGTTAGCCTGCAATGAATGGAACTAGACTCTGGCAAGGAAAGCACTCTTTCTCAACTGATATTTGGTTCATAGAGTTGCAATTAAATCCAGATTGATTAGTAACTCAGTGTTTATCAGGATGCTTCGTATAGCTGTGTGAATACAATAACTTGAAGAGCTTGTTTGACAGGATTAACATAAACTGCGAATGAAGATAATGGGGTAGTAGATGAGACCCAGGGAAAATGTAAAAGAGATAATTAATCCCAGTCAACTGTACCAATGCGCTTGTTCACACATTAAACAGATTATGTCATCTTGGTTAATCTGGTTCATGCTTCTGTTTAACTGTTGCAGTCTCAGATGTTCTTTTGTGATTTGTTTGCGGTACTATCAAGCTTGGATGTGATCATTTCCCTGAGGAACACCCCCCCCCCCCTCCACAGAGGAGTTATCGAGCTTGCACAAACATGTTTACTTAAAAAGTAAATTGGGGAAAAAAGGATATACCGTGACTTCATCAGGCCCAAAGGCAGTAATCTAGGGTATCAACAAATACCATTCGTGTGTTTATGTAATTTCATATCTACTTACTCTAATCGAGCAATTAATTAATTATTAATTAATTAAAATAACATTTACCTGCGTTGCCATTAGGGCACCAGTGAATTTCCGTTAATCACACTGGGACACCGGCTCATTTTAGCATTGCCCTCATCTAAGAAAACAGCAGCAACATTGTTGAGGTGTGTATAATTATCTCTAGATCTGTCGTATAACCTGCACACCACTGCAGTTACGAAAGTCAGTATTCACGTAAACCACAGAATAATGAAAGAGATCACGATATAAGAGTCGTTATAAAAGTTTCAAGAAAGCAAAAAAAGCTTCTAAATGATCCACTAAAAGATACTGTAAACCGTCCAAACTGTACGTGTATTTCTATATACAACGCGCGCAGGACTCGCCATTGCCAATTAATAGTCTTTGTGCCTGAAAAACATATTCAACACAAAAGGGAGTCCGACATTCGTGTGATTAAAAATATCGAAGTGGTACGGCAATTCTTGCGACCGATCTAGCTTAACCACATTGTATTCACGCCGTTCCTTTCAATAATAATATGCGACTACTTCGTGCGAATTTCCGCGTCATTGCCAATAAAACATAAATAAATATCTAAATTCATGACGGAAATTCAAACCACAAAAATATGTAGCAAAAAGGGACAACATATTAATAAACAGCACCGCATATACAGATTCCTTATCTACAGTATAGGGATATATACAGCAGTTTTCATCTTTTTCAGTCAATTGAGAACTTTTCCAGTATAAGCCTTGAAGATGACAGGGTAGTAGTCAGCGATATATTACCTTTTCTGAGCAGAATGGTCCAATTTCTGAAGGAAAAAACCAAGCGATTTTCTGTTTATTTACGGTTTACGGACACATCCCTGTGTCGATGTACGATGCCCGTCTACCAACGGGCTGAAGCAAAATCCTTCACACAGACGTGATATTAAAACAGTAGTAAAATATACTATAGCTACATGGATATACATATATTATATGCTCCATCAAGGAAAGTGTCGCCGCTTAAAACGCCCTTTTCTGCCCTGTCAGTTTGGCCAGATTAAGCAGTAAATACCTGATCTCAGCTGTTTGCGCCTTTGTGCCCTGTCCTCCCCGCCGATGCTGTCTCGCGTTCCCATCAGTTCGCATGTCGTACATTTACGCACTTTGCGTACATGTGGGTTTGTCACGTGACGGCAGCCGCACGCATCCTGTTCCAGTTGTTTACCATATTGCAAGGGGTTGTTCCGCACAGCTGGTTTCGTAAGTATGGAAGAAAGCGTGTTTAGGAGGTAACCCCAGTATGTTTACTACAGAATTAGCGCAAATTCTGGATTTTCCGTTCAAGAAAATGAAATCAGAGAGGGGGAAATATTACCGTTTATCACTTCAGGTTTCGACAGTCTGCTTTAGTCTCACGTTTAAAGCATCACACGCCGTGGATTTACATTCACATCTGAATGATATGCTGAACACAAAGCAACTTAATTTTGGGTGCACCCAATAGGCTGCTGCATATCATTGTCATTCCCCCCCAGACTTAAATCTCTGATGATAAAGACAATTTCCACCAAATTGGCAAGTTTATCATAAATTATACAAATGTTTACAGGTACTGAACGATTTATTACTATAATTGATTATAAGTAAATATTGCAGGATTCCGTAATGTCATTCTATGCCTAGATACAGCTCAAAATATCATTACTGATCCTTCAATAAAAATCTGTGCAGGGACAGGAAGTCAGTCCAATGCATTAATGCATAGGTAGTGTTGGAACACTTTATTCCAATTAAAAAGTTTTATTTCCCAATGTTTTGTACCTTACTGTATCCACTCTGAAGTTTATGTGCCACACATAATCTCCAATGTCAAAGCGAAATGGCCATGCCATGTCGATGGTTCAATAACTTATAGGGTATGTAACTTGTGTTCGTAGGGCAGTTGGATGGGCTTTTTCTTGGGGACAGAGGGAACCCGTCACGTTGACTGCAGTCATGCTTCAGTCTGACCCACAGCAGGATTAGAGCCAGGGTTAAGATGGCTGTAGGTATACTCAAGGCCCGACTGTAGTGATTGTAGGGACTGAGAGTCTCCCCACAGAGAGCATTATTATGGCATGTGTGGTACTGCACAATATCACCGCAATCAGACAAGACTCCACCTCACATTGAGTCCTGAGCCAGAGGTAGATCATCCCCTCCACATTGCAGATCAGAGTTCTTGTCAGTTTGTCTCAGTAATTACTCACAACCTTTACAATTTGAAACAGATGACAATTTCACTGTAGTTCAATTCATGATATCTTTATTACCCACAAATAAAAATGTCACATACTAGAGATTGCGCAATTTTATTTACTTCTGGGTCATTCCAGTTTAATAAAAAAAATCCAATAAAGTTTATGTATCACCTTTTTTAATAAAATCTGGCATGTGAATTACACATACATTCCAGAGCTCAGATTTTTTTTTTGTTTTAATTTTTACTTTAATTCCCTTTGAGGTGCAGTGCCTTTTGTATACCACAGCTAAGAAGAACAGTTTATCTCATAAACTGCATTTTTACTGTGTTTGGTTATTTAAAACAGTGAAGGGCTTGAAATAACACTTCTGCATTTTATACTGAAATATGTATGCGGACTGCTTGTAAATAACCTGTTACTTGGTTCCCTTCATGAGATAAGCACCTCAAAAGTGTTTTTTTTTTTTACAAAATGCTATATTTTAGTCTTAAAAAGGCATTTGGGGGAAGAGTAAAACCTGAACTGACAAAAAATCTCCTGAATAACAGGTAAATGTTTTGTGGTACAAATACAAACATGTACAAATGCTTCCCAGTCTGTGTTCTGATATTTTGACTATGCGATGGCTATTCCAATTCCATTCTGTTTTTCACTTTCAGTACATAATTCAATAAATCACACAAGATATTCAATATTTTATTATAAAATAGGCTTTGTGTTAATGATTTTAATGATTTTGCACAACTATACTCTAATGTAAATGTTCTAATCATGGTTTTAAGGTAGGCTAGGCTAGGTTATGATGTTTGTTAGGTTAGGTGTTAAAATACGTTTTCACTTTACAGTATTTTTTCATCTTATGATAGGTTTATCGGAACATAACCCCATCGTATCTGTATTTAATTAGAAAAATCTACGTGTTACTCCAAGCCCTTCAAGGGTTTTTTAACAGCCAAACATGATGAACATTGACCTTGAAAATAGAAAGTTAAACTTACGAAAAAGTTGATTTTGACCATATCACGAAAGAAGGCTATTTCTGAAATGTGAAGGTCATAAGAGAACACTCTTAAATACCAATATTTCCTTTGTCACCTACCGTGTAGGAAAGGTACTAGTTCTCAAAGGGACATTTTTGGGGAAAAAAAACATTTCTGAAGTCTGAAAGGTACATGTAATTCACATTCCAAATATAATCAAAATCGAAAAAGGTCAAGCAAAGGCCATTGTTTGAATTAAAATGAAATGACCTGGTGTGACTCCTTAACAGGTAACTAGGAAGACAACATATACATTAATCCTGAGCCTCTGAGTTTCTTATTTTCACTTATACAGAGGACATTAGGAACAGGTTCATAGTGTGATCAGCAGTATTGTCAAGATGGATGGACCCTCATCATCTTGGGACAGGTCAGCCAAACTTTGTTAGAAGTAAGCAAGTGCATTTATTCAGATATCGACATTCATGATAATCAAATTATACCTCTGCAGTCCTCGCTGTATCTCTCCTCATTTGTTAAGGTCTCCTGGTCTTTTTCCTTTAATGAGTACTTTAACTGAGGTAACGCAGTCAGCGCTATCAGGCAGAATTAGCGGAGTATTCAGTCACCTATAAAAGCATGATGCTTTGTTGTGGCAGGAGGATCCGCTAGACACTGATGCCATCACTCACTGGGAAAATAATGATGATTAAAAATGCTGTTATTAAAGATATTAGCAAGGTTTTGCATACAATCTTATGATGTAACTAAAATTGTAATCATGAATATTTCCTTAAGTAACTGTAATTTAATTACACTTTTTTCTCTAGTAACTGTAACGGATTACAATTACATTTTTACATGTAACGGTGTTACGTAATTTAACTCGTTACTCCCCAACACTGAGTATAGTATAGTATTACTCCTGGGATGCCTTCAATAATAGGGCTTTTACAGGTTTGGGAAATAAAAAATAAACAGCACAGTGTACTTGTAGTGAACCATTCATGTGGATTTTTTCCATCCTTTATACTAGACATTGTTTTAGGTTGCACAGGTCTGATAAATTTGTTAATAAGATTAGAGTATAATTATCTATGAACGTGTTGATTCGGGCAGATGTTTTTTTCCACGCCCTCTGTTCCCTGCTGCAGTGTTGTCCTTTTTAAAATGAATGCATCCTTTGCATATGCAGTAGCAGGACTCTCAAGTGTCATCAAGTTTGGAGTGAGATCATGTTTGTTAGGGGCGGAGCGTGTGTCTCACGGCCAAAGCGTGACACTTCAGACCCCTGCCTACCGCATTCCTCGGGTCTTGCTCTGTCGCTCCCACTCTGTCTGCACCCCATGTGTGCGCGCATCCATGTGATAATGTACTTGCAGCGGGATCACAAGTAATAAATCTGATAACTCTGTCCAACTCGATCAGCACGGCAATGAACTCGGCGGAAAACTCCGCTCCGTACGCCTGCGCCTCGTCCATTAATTCTGTATAACGGGACCCCTTGGTGAGCGCTGCCCCTTACATTCTAGCGTGAGAAGCACAAGGTGCGGCGGTCCCAACCGTGGGAACTGGTTGAAATGCGCGTGTCTCACGGTCGATGCGTGAGACTTGAGAGCCCTGTGCAGTAGTTAATATTTGCAGTTCCAGTTGTATAAAATATGAATCTATGCGATTTTGGCAACGGGTGCTTCAATTACTTCAATGACAGAAAAACTGTTAAACTTCCATCCATCCATTTTCTGTAACTGCTTGTTCTATTCAGAGTCTTGGGGGATTCAGAGCCAATCGCGGAGACTGGACAGGGCACCAACCCATCCCAGGGTGTACTCACACACACACACACACACCACACACACACACACACACACACACACACACACACACA